CTTCCTTCCTTCCTTCCTTCCTTCCTTCCTTCCTTCCTTCCTTCCTTCCTTCCTTCCTTCCTTCCTTCCGCTGCCTGGAATGGTCCCTGCAGTTTTCTTAGTAAGATTTCAGAATGATTATAACAAAAAATAATCTGCCTCTCCCAGGTCCTTGGGAAGGACATGATAGGTAGATAAAAATACCACATTCAATCTGAACATCTGGTTGACTTTGCAACAAACAAAAATAAATAAAATCATCACAGAGTTATACTGCTTCAATAAACAATAGCTTTTTCTACCCACACAATTTTTTTTATATATATAAAAGCAGACTTAGCAATTAACTGTGATTAGACATCACATGTTCTGAACTTGAAGATAGGTGACACTGGTGATGTCACAGACATTGGTAAGATTAACTTAATCTCAGAGTTTTTATTATGAATTCATCATGTTTGATTTTCTTTTTATAAGTCCTGTGTAACCGAGCATTGATGGTTTTGTGATCAAACTGTAAATATATTCCGTTCCTCTTAATTGTGACTCTGTCTATCTTAATATTGTAAAATTGAGGTACCTTACACTGTTTCTATATTGTTACTAGTTCTTACCATTCCTCCTACTGATCCAGTTGGAATTTTCTCTTAAGATCCTGCATATAGTTTCAACAAGAAATTTAGTCCATTCTAGTTAATAATGTAGAATCTGATGGCTGCTTTTGCTTTTAAGGTGATACAAAGAGGTTTTTTTTAAAATCAGGATGGTGAGGGTGTAAATATCTGCATATTTTTTTCTTTCAGTTTTAGTACTGGGATTTATGTTTCATTGTTGATATATCTGGAAAAAATCAGTGTCTTTCAGGATTAATCTGATATAGGTTTTGTTTATAGATGAGAAGATTTATTCTGACATATATCATGTTAAGCTTCAACTCAGTTGTGGCCACCAGATAGTTTTGCATACTATCTGCATTTAATAATGAAGTACTTTATGGATGATGAATTTTAGGACGGTGACCTAAAAGAAGGTGACTGCAGGTTGTTCTTGTTTTGCATCAAATTACAGCTGAAATAACCAAATATGTGCCATAAATATCAGTCTCTGTGGTGAAATGGGATTGGCTTTATATAAAGAATGGTTTGAAAGTGATAACTGTGATGCATATATGTGATGTACTATTGTCTGTAGTTTTGAATTAGAAACAGTAATGGGACTTATATGCTGAAGATACCCTTCAGAATAAAGCAGGTAATACTACTTGGACAGTTGTCATACCTTTTCTAATAGTTGAATTGAGCCTATATCAGGGAATCTTACTGAATTTGAGGATTAAATAACTGCTAGTAGAAATGCTTTACATGGATAGTACTTATCATCAAGATTATACCTTATAATTTAGCAAAGTCATTGGCATCTTTACAGTTCATAGAATTAATAGCTTGTAGTCTTTTCTTAGGCAGCTGTGTCCTAAAACATCCAATAGTATAATGCCTGGAAATCTCTTTATGCCAGGGCTGACAGGAGATAATTTCTGAAATACCTTCAGTGTTCTTTTGCTTTTGTTCAGTTTTAGAATAAAAATAAAGCAAGATGTCCATGGATGATCAATGAATATGTAACCATTGTTACAATCATTTAAACATTTTACTTCTATACATACCGCACTATTTTTTTAAGCACTGATACCATTGGAGCAGTGGTGGGATTCAAATTTTTTTTACTACTGATTCTGTGGTTGTGGCTTGGTAGGTGTGGCTTGGTGGGCATGGCAGGGGAAGGATACTGTAAAATCTTCATTCCCACCCCACTCCAGGGGAAGAATACTGCAAAATCTCCATTCCCTCCCCACTGCTGGGGGAAGGTTACTGCAAAATCCCATCCCACCCCCATCCTACTAACCTGCTTTCCAGCTCTGTTCTCCTGTGCAGAGCAACAAAAGAAGACCCAGCCAATCAGCTGGGACTTGGGAGGCAGATAATAATTGGGGTGGGGCCAGTCAGAGGTGGTATTTGCCAGTTCTCTGAACTACTCAAAATTTCCGCTGGTTTTCTCCAGAACTAATCAGAACCTGCTGAATACCACCTCTGCATTGGAGTATGTTAAATTATAGGTTCAAAAACAATTTCATTCTTTCCATATTGGGTTCTTGAGATGGAAAATTACTATGGATTACAGCAGAGAACATATTCTTCTATAGGTATTATATTTATTGGAGAAATTTTTTGATGGTTTTTCTTTCTGTGGACATTCTTCCATGTGGCCACTAGATTTGTGATGACGCTCATTTCTTGGAACATAATTTCATTTATTTGACCATATGGCACATATGGTACATTTATTTTAAGTTCATATTCCCTGTCCATATGCCAAACAGTTTGTTAAATTTATATCTCATCTTTTCTCTAGAAGTAAAGACAGTTTACCTGTTGATCATAATTCTTTTTATTCTTACAAGAATTCTGTGAAATAAATAGACTAGTCTGAAGTTTCATGGCAGAGGGTAGACTTTAATATAAGACTAACTCTCCAACCACTGCATCACACTGACATCTTAACCAAAGTTTATAAAGTAGCCTAGATAATTTAAAGTCCTGCTGACAAGTCCTTCAAGGGATAAAGTAATTGGCTGGAGAAGAAGAGGCCCTAGGAGTTTCTATAGAAAGTTACTGAAATCACAGCTGTATAAATGTCAGCATAAATATTAAAGCACATTAATACTTGCTGATTTTCAGACACTTCTGCTGATATAACTGCCGATTTTATGGGCACAATATAAGGAGGCCAGATTCTAGGATTTGAACAAACACAGATATAATCAGAAATAAGAGTTTGGCTGTGGAATTTACTACAAAGAATAGACAAAGAAGAGAGAAATAAAATAAAAAATCTATGTGTATGATGGAATATCTCAGTTATTCAATGGTAAATATAGTATTTCCTGAACAGCTGATGATTACAAAGGATAAGTTTCCTATTAAAAAACAGATGCTGATCACAAACTATAAAAGATATCTAAGTGTCCAAAAAATATAAGAAAAGTAAGTTGTAAATAAAACGTTTGTACAGAAAGTAAAGCTGACAGGAAACTTTTATTTAAAAAAGGCATTGATATAAAACTACATATTGAAATAGATTAATCCGAAATATTAAAGGCAGGGTGGAAACTCTGACTCGCTACTCTTAGGCTCTCTCTTCATTGGTTTCCATACTAGAGGAAACATTCATTCAATTAATAGTTGTACTGAGCCCATCTCATGTCTTGTGTCCATTTCTGGAAATCACGCTTTGAAAACCCAACTAGATTAGATACAGAAAAAGACAGTAAGGATATTCAGAGAACTAAAATCTTGAGTCCTATGAAGAGAAATTGAATGAATTCAGAAGATTTAATCTAAAAGAGAAGATGGTAAGGTAGATAGACAATAATACTCTTCAAATACATAACAAGAGAAGGCACTTGTTAATGTTAAGTTTGTTTTCTCTTACGTCATAATTCAGGATACGTAATAATTGATTTAAAGAGCCATGGTGGCATAGTGGTTAGAATGCAGTACTGCAGGCTAACTCACTGATCCCTCCAGGATTTCGATTCTGAGCGGCTCAATGTTAGGAAATTTCTACTTAATTCTCAGTTGCTTCTCTCCTTGATTAGTTTCCATCCATTGTTTCTTGTCCTGCTTTCAGATGCTTTGGAGAATAGGTTCACTCCCTTTTGTTTATAGCAATCCATTAGATATTGGAAAATTGCTATCACATCACCCCCTACTCCTTCTTTTCATTAAACTAGACATGTTTATTGTATTATCATGATCTCTCACTTCTTGAATAGGAAGAGGGCAGGACATTACCAATGTGTTTGAATTATTCAGAGGAGAATTAGATATTAAAAGAGAGGCAGGGGGTATTAGGTGGCAAGGGGGCAAGAAGAGGGGTAATTAGGATTATAATAACAGAAATTTATACACAATTTATCCAACTTATTTTATTGTTGAAATTTTAAGTATATATTTTGCTAATTATAAATACGTCAAACTCTAGAATGCTCAAATCCTATCACACTTTGGACTGCTTCAACTAGATGCTGATTACATGAATAATATGATTGCACTGGGTATTAGCTGAATTTTATGATTCACTAAAACATTAGTTTCACACTTGGTTACACTTACTTATTTTATAATAACTAATGGCCATTGATCTATTTTTAAAACCAATAGTTTTATTTCTTTTTTATTTACACTTCTGTTATCAAATCAATTGAATTATCATTTTTTATTGACAATTAATTAATTATCATAATTAATTTTTAACTTTTAAATTTGTAATGGATTATGGTAATTATTTTTTTAAAATATGTTTTGTTTGCAAAAATTGTTACAAAGAAATACTAATTCTCTCTCTCTCTCTGAGAGAGTATTTGAAAAAAAATGTGGTGCAACTAACGGTGTCGGTCCTAAAATAGCCTGAGAAATGCTAATCTAAAGCATTAACTCCTCCTGCTGATCAGCAATTGTTTCTTGTGGGAGAAATGGCAGCAGGACAAACACAGCCCTAGGTATCCACCAGTAGCTTTCCTTAAAAGGTTCCATATTAAAATTGCAAAGACAGCACTAGTTATCAGCTATATAGTCTCATGATATGACAGGGGTGTCAAAGTCGTGATGACACAGTGTCATCACGTGACATATCACAATTTTTCCCCCTTGCGGGCCGCAAGTTTGACACCTGTGTGCTATGGCATTAGAGTAAAAGGAACATATTTTTTCAAATGCCACAAGAACTATTTGAATGGTCAGCCTGAGCCTGTGCTCTGAGAGTTATGTTTGTAGAAATGATACTGATGGGATTTTCTTCCATTTATATTTTAATTTAAGTTAAATATAGTTAACCTGATTACACTCCAGTCATGCATTTAATAACTTCTTCAAATTAAAAAAATCACAATTTAGCAACAACTTTGAAGGTCTCAGAGCACAGGAAATGTGTAAGATTACATGCTGAAATCACTGGTGTTTGACAATAATATAGAAGGGCACAATCTGAACCTGTAGGATTTTAGGAGGTCTCACAGCACAGCACCCGGTTCAGATTGTGCCCTTCTATATTATTGTCAAACCCCAGTAATTTCAGCATGTAATCTCACACATTTCCTGTATTTATCAGAATATTGCTTGATTCATGAGATAATGGTCTTCTATGCTACCTCTGAAAAATATGTCAGAATTAACCATGCAGGCAGTCACACACATAAACATTTATAAATAAAACATGTTTTTCTTATATATGGATGTTTCACTCAATAGACATTATGGGAATAAGTGTTTTGCAAGTGCATCCTATTATTGTTTGGCATGTTTTACCTATGACAATGTATCTGGAATGGTTTCAGTAGTCTTTTTATTGCTGTTATTTAATTTGATTCCATGCCTTCTAAAACGCATTAAGCTAATGAAACAAATATTATCAGGAAGTCCCATGTGTTTCCAGAATGAGATGATGCCATGACTGAGTTTTTGAGAAAATATATATTTATATATCTGAAATCCCAGGCTGCGGCATTGAACTGAAGAAATGAAAATGGAAGGAATCAGAGAAAGACAAATAAAATGTTGCTTTATAAATGTTGCCATCTCCTTAGCTCATTATGTAATGCAAGAATGATATTAACTGTCTTATTTTCTGCCTTTGTGTAACAAAAGAATGCATCACTGTTAGGTTGAATGCACTGGACAGTTATGAAATTCCATACACCTTGTGTCTTTTAAGGGGATCATCTCTTAGAATAAGAAAATAAACACCAAAAAAATCTAAATTATTCCTAGGTAGGGAATAATCAATCAGTAGTTCTAAGAAGAACACTGAATAATCATCTGATTGCAGCTATAATTTTATTCTAGGATCTACCTGGGTTAATGTAACTAACACTGACAAGTACTTGGAATGATAATTGAAGTTGAAGATTTTCTGTGCTGCTCCCTTTTGGCAATGACATTTTGGCAAGCAATTTGGGTTAACACTTAACATTTTAAGGCATCTCACAGCTTTCTACTAGCTACCAATTCATCTCCCATTAAGGAACTGTAAGTTATGACCTTAACATTTTATTATTCTTTTCCTCTTGAATTAATTTTTTTGATTAGTTAATAATATGTAATACAAAAGTACAAATAAAATAGTAAGAAAGAAAGGGGAGGAAAAGGGGAAGGGAAAGGTGCAGCGCAGGTGGGGAAAAAAGAAAGAAAAAGCATTGACTTCCATCTCCCTTTTGGGTAGTACACAGCAGAGCTGGTATTCAGCAGGTTCTGATCAGTTCTGGACAATCAGTGGGGGAAATTTTGAGTAGTTCGGAAAACCGGCAATACCACCTCTGACTGGAGATTTTACAATTTCCTTCCCCTGCTATGCCCACCAAGCCATGCCCACAGAACCGGTAGTAAAAAAATCTGAATCCCACCACTGGTACACAGGTATCAAACTTACTGCATCACATTGCCATCATGTGACATTTTGTGACATTTTTCCCATTTGCAGAGCTGGGATGGGCATGGCTGGCACTTGACATATCTGGCCTGCGGGCTGCCAGTTTGATACTCCTGCTGTGGTAGTATAAGAGAGTAATATCAAACCTCAACTTTTTAATTTTATATAGTAATATAAACTAGCCATTTCTATGACAACAAACCTATTAATTTGTAAAACCCCAAATTAAAAAATTCATTTTTTTTCCACCTCAAACACAAAGTCCAGAAGAAGTTTCTATCTCTTGGGTTAATTTCAAGTAGTCTGGTTCAATTCTTATTTAGAGCTGTGCAGGCATGCATCCCTCTGCATTAGAACCAGGAACAGACATTGGAACTGTTATGTCCCTGGAACTCTAAGGAGTTCCCACTCAGGTCCGTTCGCGTTGCGGGGGCGGCTGCCCCCTCGCTCATTGGTTGGTTCTCCCCAGCAGCCAGCTATAAAAGCAGGCTGCGGGGTCCAACCAGTTGCTGATCGCTGCGAGCCAGTTCCAGGCTTGGCTAGCACGTTCAGTCCTTTATTACCACAATAAAGTATTTGTTGCACTCATGCTCTGGTTCAGCCTCTCATTACCCAAACTTAACACTGGCGACGAGGATGGGATGGCTACCAGAAGCACAATGCAACCGCTGAATCACTAGCCGCCGATCCGCAGCCAGAGAGAACGATCGGCCGGCGATAAGAGCAACGCTGATCCGCAGCCAGAGAGAGCGGTCAGCAAGCAACGAGAGCGAACGCTGATCCGCCGCCAGAGAAAGCGGTCAGCAAGCAACGAGAGCTAACGCTGATCCGCAGCCAGAGAAAGCGGTCAGCAAGCAACGAAAGTGAGAAGTGTCTGTAGCCGCTTGTTAGCCTAGCTACAGGAAAAGTGAAGCGCTGCGAGCCGCAGCCACTCGTTTCTTTAGGCGCGAAATTCAAACGGCTGTCATTTGAATTTCAGTCCTAAAAGTACAGCGCGGTGCTGTAAGTCAAGTCACTGACGCCCACGCAGGCGCGAATTTCAAAACGCTGCCAACGGCCGGCAGCCTAACCTCGTGTTTAGCCCAGAGAGAGAGAGAGGATTGTGAAAAAGCCTCTCCAGAGCTGAAATCACTTGCCTGCCACAGGCACTAGAAACCTTCTGCTGCTGCCCCAGAGAGATTTTTTTCCCAACAGATAGTACAACCGATTTCCTCACTATGAATTCCAATCCAGTCTTCCCAGCGTTCAAGCCGGATGAGGAGAAGTGGGAGTCATACAAGAACCGCTTTAACCATTACATCGACGCAATTGGGCTGGCTGATGCAGGGGAGCACCGGAAAAAATCATATTTCCTGATCTACTGTGGAGCCATCGTCTTTGACACTGCCACAGCACTCGTGGCTCCACGTGAGTTAAAAAACGTTCCATGGTCTGAACTGTTAGAAATCCTTACTAACCACTATTCTCCCAGACCTTCACAGATTGCCAGGCGATTCACCTTCCGTATGAGGAAACAATCAGACAAAGAGACCATCAACCAGTACATGGCCGCCCTCAGGACCGCAGCACTCCATTGTGGGTTTGGAACCTACCTGGAGGACATGCTCCTTGATCAGCTAGTCTGCGGAGTCAAGGATCTCCACCTCCAAAGGCGCCTACTCGCTAAGAAGGACCTCAACCTCGCACAAGCCGTCGAGGAGGCCCTGGCAGCAGAACTGGCAGCACACTCAGCCACCGAAATCCATGGTACAACTTCCAAGCTAACGACAGTTCCAGTCCACTCCGAGGAGGTGGTCTTAGAGGGAGCCCCCAGTGATGAAACCGACATCCACCGCCTCACCAACGCCAGGCATCCGCAGGTAGGAGCCAAGCAAGAAAGCATCAGTCCACCCAAGCACATCACCCTGTGCCTATCTTGTGGTGGATCTCATCCGAGGGCCACCTGCAAATTCAAAGGAGCCACCTGCATCATCTGCCACAAAAAGGGGCACATCGCGAGAGTCTGTCAAGCCTCTCAAAACTCGGCACAAAGGCACCCTTCCTTCTCACATTCTGGACCTCAGAGGCAAGTATTGAACTGTCGCACTCACCACCATGCCAAGCACACTTGCCATACCGTTAGTAAAATCTCTCTCTCCGTTTTGTTAGAAGGTAAACCTTGTCGCATGGAGGTTGACACAGGGTCAGCGCTCTCAATTATCTCGTGGAGCACCCTCAAGAGGCTACAGCCCAGTCTATCAAGAA